CACACACACACACACACACACACACACATCCAAGACTTACTTGCTTCCCGTCACTGGCGTTGCAGGGAAGCAGCAGCACTTGCGAGGCGGGGAAGGTGGTGGAGAGAGCGAGGCAGTGCTGTTTCTGTCGGATCTGCTGGCTGTGCGTGTAGATCCACTCCTGGGAAAGAGAGCAGGCGAGCGTGTGCGCAGCAATCCCAGGCAAGCTCACACACATGCGATGAGTCTCCCGCCAGTTCCCATATCTCGACACGCAGCTGCGTCTTGCCGCCCGTCCCTACATTTGCCTGACTCACCGAAATACACATCTTAACCCGTCTGTGCGTAAATATTCCAGCAGGGGGCGCAACGGTCAAGAAACACACTGTGCGGATCGAATCCAGGCCAGTGCATTATACCTGAAGTGTTCCTGTGGCTGGCATGTAATGTAAAGGTACTGGACTGTCAGCTATGTAGGTCACTTTGCAAGGCGTCTGTTTGGTAAATAAATAATGTGGCCGTCCTTTCTAATGAGAAAAACAGAAGGGGTTCTGTTTTAGCATGAGCCTGTGACAATATAGCTGGGAGTCATGTTGACACACTGTGTCATGCACTAAAAAAAGGACTTAACCTACTACGTCACGCTCTCTTCTGGGCCTTCCTGCCCTGCCTATTTAACCCCCTTTCCTCCTGCCCCCCGGATACATTCAGCTGCAATGGGTCACACTGAGCCAACCAACAGCAAGGATTTAATGTGTTAATTGGGATCCATAAGGGTCTGATTATTTGCAGGCATTAAACCGTGTAGTGCAAAAACACAATGAATAACTGCTTTTAAATCGCACTATAAATCATACCATTGCTAGGTGTAACTGTTCTACATTCAGTCACATGTCACAGTCTACTAGTCAGACATTACCATTATGACCTTCTGCTCACAGCAATGAACATATATGTGTCTTTAAGGTACTGTTTCTCAAACCGGTCCTCGGGGATCCACCACCCAGACAGTCCATGTTTTTGCTCCCTCCCAGCTCAGAAACAGGGAGGGAGGAAGAATGTGGACGTGGCTGGGAAGCACTGCTTCTCAAGGTATAGAAAACGCTCGCATGCTTCCCCTCTTCCGTGTTGTCCCCTCAATGTGGCACAGTACATTTTGTGATGAGGGTTCCACTCGCGTTCATGCAGTGAACAAAGGGGATGTGTGGAGAGAAACTCCACATTGCGGCACGTGAGTTGCGCTAATTCTCAGGAAAAATAAATATGCATCGGGCTTTGTGTTCTTGCTAAAGAAGCATGTTGATAGGTGACACGTGGGGATAGTTCCAAGACGCGCAGCAAAACAATGGAGTGTAATTGGAGGCAATTAGGACGACTTGTACGGGAGAGTGGAGCTAATGAGGATGTTAGCCATGGTGGAAGAGTTTCAGCTGTCAGCAAAAGGTGCAAAAGTGAGACACATGCAGACAGGCAGGCAGACTTTGCCCCAGAAACTGTGCACGTTGATGTTTTTCTCTTAATAACCTCCCTGGCACACGCAGAGTCTCGGAATAATAGCTGATCCTGGGTTTTTCATTAAATATTAACATTTCAAAAATTGCAGGCAGAAAAAAAGTGCAGCCAATGTAATTTTATGGTATGTAGGTCAAAAGAGATACAGCTATTGTTTTTTAACAAATTTCCCATTGTGTGAAGTCCAGGAAATCACAGATACACTAGGGCTTTGCTGCGAGACAGCCAGATATGTGAAAACAATATCTCAAACCACAATGAATTAGATCATCGTGAACCTAAGTGACCCCAGGGGGCACTGTTGCAGTGGTTTTGGATACTCAGTGCATGCCTGTTCTGAGTTATATTGTGAAATACCCGCTCCAGTTCTGATTAAAGTACTTGCCCAGCCTGGCTGTCGAGTTGTTCTACGGCATGCATCTTAGTACGCATAGGCACTGCCACTGAAGGATGATGTGAACTCACCACCAGGGGGCGCCGTAGCGCTCAAACCTAATCAGCTCCCGTCACAATACAACGTGGATGTATCGCAAGTGGGACGCATCATGGTGGTGTACGAGAAGGTCAGGAAGCAGAGGGCATTTACATATCTCAGTTTAATGGGGCAGATTTTACCATAAAATCTGTGGTCCACATTAATCCTAATTAGGGTGCTGTCCAGGCAGCGTTTTATGATACCCACTGTGGCATGACAGTATCAATTTAACGTTAATCTAGCGTGCCTCCAAGCCTTGTTAGTTTACTGCACTGAGCTCTAAAAAGCTCTGCCATTAACCTAGAAGGCGAAGACTTGAGGGAAACCGTGAGACGGCCATGTGCAGGCATCAAATTCTGCGTTAAAGTTTACACTTTAATCTTGGCCATCGCGGATTTTTCCCCATTCCCCTAAAAACCCGTATGTGTCTCACATAACCGTACCAGAACATTTCCACAGCCTCAGAAACACAATAACAAATATTAAATTTTCCTTATTGCCATGTAATTGATGTGGCTAGATAGATTCCTTGGGTTGCGGGGTAGACTCATATTGTCTAAAGCTTCTAACACCTTGTTGTTGAATAAAAAAGGACTATAATCTGAAGTTACTGCATCTGTAAAAGAGCAAAGCTATACATAACATGTAGTTTTATGTAGTTTTAACATTCGGGATATAAAGGAAAAATAAATTAACTAACCAGAAATTACTTGTTATTCCATCAACACCAATGCAAAGCACCTGCCACAGTGTTTACATTCTATTTATCTGTCTGTCTGTCTGTCTATCTATCTATATGCATAAGCAGGGATTACAGAAACATCTGCAGATGTTGTGGTGCTGAGAGCCAGTGACCTATAGTGGCTGGGTGGAGTGACAGATACAGGACATGGGTTATTACCTGGTTGAGTGCTGGGACCGCCTTGGTCCCAGTACACGGACCCAGTGTCAGCACCGGCAGGTCCTGTCCCTCCACCATCTGGGACTCCAGGCAGTTCTGCCTCTGCCGGATCACCCCTGACTTGGAATCAGAATCGTCTGGGATTCTGGAGGGGTGAGAGAAGGCACAGACACCGGGGGTGTTAATAGCTTTCCGCACAGGGTCCATCTTAAAGGCGATACTACGTTTTGTGTCTATTTTCTTCCTTTGTTTGGGAATAAACTGCAGTGGTATCTCCTGTCTTCTTGAATCAGTCAACATGAATGGCGTTCCTCAGCACTGACCTTATCTTTGCTCTTGAGTATTCTCTATACTTGTATCACGTCAATTTTACTCAAGACTGAAGAGCTTGAGTTCCGTTGACTTTATCTCGTATGGCAACCCTTTTCGTTCCTTATTCTTAGCTCATTGTTCTGTCCCACAAAAGGGAACATGGTGCTTCCAAATGACTTTCTAATCTACGCACGGTGATGACACACTAGACGTGTCCGCGGAGCTGTCTCATCTTGCCGGGGAGGATGTACTCCTGTTTGCTGTGCTTGTGTGTGTCCCAATGTGCTGTGTCAAAAGTGCTGCTCCTGTATAGTCTGTACTCAGTTTACCGTGAATATTAACGAGAAGTAAAGATAAGAAACGCATTAAAAAGCACATGCATTCATCAGGAGGATCCGTGCGCCCCGCTGTCGGCCGAGATGGATGGGAACACCTAGTAAATAATGGCCGAGTGGTCGGGGAGAACCAGATGGATTTTACAGCCTGGTTCGTTCACTTTGTCAGCAAAAGAATCCTGGGAGTCAGGGTGGTGAGTTCATCAGGCTGCTTTCCCCTTGAGTCATTTTTCACCTTTCTTCAGCACGGGGGCAGAAATCCAGTATAAGTATGTCCCAGTTTGGTTTAATGAAATGGTTCATCTCACCAGAACAACAGCCGAGCACCTCACACAGGAAAGTGACAAGGGGCTAACTCTAGGTTAATGTAGCTATGATAATACAAATTCAAGGCAATAATGGAAGGGCAGCTCAGTGGACGGCACTGTAATATCACACCCCCAGGGTTGTGGGTTTAATTCCCGCCCCAAAGCGTGTGTGCAGAATTTGCATGTTCCCTTCACGTTTGCTCATGTATATCAGGATCCTCCTAGAGGTTAATTGTCATGTGGTGTCTTTGCTGTTCCCATGATGTCCAAATGTGAGCACCATTAACTGGCCCCCCGTCTACGGTGTGTCGCACCCCGTGGAATAGGCTTCAGGCTGAGTATGACCTTGTACCGTATAAGTGGTTTAAATAAAAGCAGTAATATTGATATCAATAATAATACATTTGGTTTTAAAGCTCATTTTCCATGCTCAAAGCACAGTTGATACACAAAGATTATCAGCATGCAATATTTAATTCTAACAACTAACCAACACCAATAGCAAGAACAGAAACTGCAGATAAAACCTTATTATTTCAGAAACAGAGAGGGGGAAGAGAGTGGGCGAGGGAACATTAAAGGGTGATATAAAGAGCTGGATGATGGGGGATTAGGAGGCAAAGCGGGACTCTGAAGTTTTGCCAAAGGAAGGTAAGACATTCAGAAACCCAAAAGCCCTACCGGGCACGTCATGGAGATGGGAAGTGCTGGTTTCTCAGATTCGGATAATCCCGAGTGTCACGAAGGGCAGGAGGAGGGGTGGCAGCATACCTCATGTTATTGGGGTAGGGGAGAAGATCACCGAATGGTAAAGGAGGATTGGTGAGGCGTCACATTGACTGCACCTTCATAATGCATTCATAGAACATCTGGTGTGCCTTCATAATGCATTCATAGAACATCTGGTGCGCCTTCATAATGCATTCAAAGAACATCTGGTGCACCTTCATAATGCATTCATAGAACATCTGGTGCACCTTCATAATGCATTCATAGAACATCTGGTGCACCTTCATAATGCATACATAGAACATTCATAAGCAGCATGTATCTATACCTTAACATCCTAACATACCTCAGCAATTTCAATATATATTAATAACAAACATTATATGATTATACAGTTATAATGGTTATTATCATGTAATGTTCTATGAATGCATTACGAAGGTGCACTGAATGTTCTACGAATGCATTATAAAGGCATTATGAAGGTGCAGTTATTGTAAAGCGTTACCAAAGGATTTTTGTAATCACTCTTTCACTTGACAACATGCATTTTAAGTAGTAGTGAACTTGCTTGACCCCGTCTGGGGGTGTCGGGTAAAGATCGCTTCGGGTTATTCCCGGTTATTCAAAGGCTTGACATGCGGTGTCTTTGATGAGCAGAAAACCACAGAGACAAAGATAGAATGTGATGGGCGCGTGTCCGTGTATCTTAGTGTCGCGGCAGGAACGAAACGGGCTGACAAGGGAAGTGGAGGGGTGGGGGGGGGGGTAGCAGAGAAAGCCATGGATCCTAGATCATGCTGAGGTCTCTGATAACAGGGAGTCACATTGACATCAATCACCAAGCAGAGTGAGTCAGTTTTCCATTGGTCTTTGTTCCTAATACGATAATCTTTGTGTTCATAAATTACACAGACAGCACACTTACGCTGCTTCAATATGCACACAGCAAAATCTGCTGCAGACAACGAAAAAAAACCTAGACAAATATATGGAACGGGTAAACATTTATCAAATGAATTTCAATGAGGATAAATGTACACTATGTTTACAATGTGTGCACGGTAGGTGTATCTCATTAAAGACCCAGGAGTCTATACTCGATGCCTTAGTATCTACATCACTTCAGTATGACCAAACATTTAAAAAAGCAAACAAAATCCTCACGTTTGTCTTTGAGAACAAGGACGTTATGCTCATGCTGTACCAGTTAGGCACTAGGAAAACCTCACCCACAATGCCGTGTGCACAAACTGTCAGCTCTTGTCAGAAAAAGCATTAAAGAGCATTCAGGGAAAAAAAGGAACTTTTGATCTAACAGGAACTTAAAGGGCTGTCTTTCAAAAACAAGTTAGCAGAAGTCAATCTCTTCAGTCTGAGGGGCACGTGACAGAAGTATACCAAATAAACACTCAGGAGCAAAGAGAGGGTCAACCCTGAGGACTATGACCATGTTAATGCTGATTCAAAAAGATGGGAACACAGTCTGAGGTCAGCTTAGATAAAACCACAAGAAATCTCTCCATTCACAAAGGATTTTCATCCGGAACAAACCTCTGATTTATGAACTGGTGGGACTTGTATTGATTAATTCAAATCAGCACTAGATTAAAAAAATATCCAAATGAGAAACTCAGAAAAACTGGCTTATTTGTTACTTAGATCAAATTTTGACTAACTCAGGATTTGACCTGCCCAAGATAGTTTAGAAGTTTATTCATACAGGTTGTTCAGTAGCTTCACTTGAATACAGATTTCAGTGCGACTACAAGACTGCCAAAATATTCACAGAAAAATAAAGGACTCAGAATCGAACCATGTGGGACACCATGTGTTACTGGTGCTATTAAAACACTGATTACTAGCAGCAGCCAAGAACGTTTTCCATTCTAGGCAGCAAGATAGTTCATTGACAGATGTAGCACTTGGAAATAGCAGTCTGTTAATTGGTCAGTATGCATAAGCTCTTTGTGAATAATTATATTTGTTGTGTTGGAAAATATGTCACATGTACTCAGAAGTGATGCCGTAATACCGAGGTACCACAAAAATAACCAACTGAATGAGAGCTTAGAGACAAAACAGGCCAGAGGCAGCCTCCTTACCTCAGCTCGGGATAGACGTTGTCCAGGTACCACTTGAAGGGTTTGCATTTGAGGCGCTGCCGGAGTTCCTCCCGGCTGTGAACACTGACAAAAGGCGAGAGAAGCAGCCATCCTTCAGTACGGCAGGCCACTCATTACAGATCAGGTAACGGGGAAAAGGCACAAGAAGTCAGAAGAACCCATGTTCTACTGATTGGTATTCAGCTAGCAGTAAGACGCTGCTCTGGAGCGAAATGAACAGGTGGTTTGAGCCATGCAGCCCACACTGCTCCCTGGTCTTTCATTTCACACTCGATAGCTGCATTCAATCATGTATACTAAGGCTTCCTGGCTGGGCTACTCGATGCCTCCCGGCTTGCCGTCCAGAAGCAGGATGGCAGTCAGCTCTTTACAGGATAATAACGGAACAGTGACGCCTGATCTATGACTTACTCTCCATAGGGCTTTCCACGGGCCGCGGGCCGAGCGGAATAGTAGAAGACCTTGAAGTCGTCCATCCAGACTTCTGCCGTTCTCCGAGTGTTCCTTAAGTGCGACAGGATACGACAGTGGCGGTCATCTCAATGTGACCATCATCTCCACAAGGTTGTGTTTTTTGGGTCGATGTTGCCAGTTCGCTGCATATTGTACCTGTTTAGCATGCACACTTTGAGGATGCCTGCAGAAAAGGCTCACATTTTAGCTGAACATTTGCATATCAATACGAGAAACACAACAGGCTCAGGTAGCCTAATTTGCTTCTCCTTCCTGCTTAGGTGATGCTAAGATAGCTGACATTTACAAAGCTGCGCCGCACCGAAACAATTCCGTTTGAGTATGTTCCCCAGGGGTACAACAACAGATCCCTGCACTGGCTTCGAACCAAGAAGTCGATTACAAACACAGAGAGAAAACTCTCCCCCCACACACAAATGGTTGCTACATCGTGGACATCACAGGCCGTTAGAAGCTTGTGAAGGCTGCCGATTGTACAAAACATGTTTTTAGTCTCAGGCAACTCAGGTGCATCAAAGGCATGTCAAAGCGCCAATGGTTATGGTTGCTGAACATCGGCAGCCTGGAAACACCCAAATGCGACTTCTCAGAGACTCCATTTTACATCTCCATGATTTTTTTCTCACGTCAAGATAAAAAATACTGACACAGTCCCACCGCTTCCTTAGCATCCCAACTGTGGTCAGGGGGCAACCCTGACCACCCAACTGGGGCAGGACTATAACAAAATGTGCTTCATTTCTGTTTCCATTGTATAGACCTGGACACCTTAATTTAGGTAATTTTTCCCTTTCTGGAACAGAGGGGCAGGAATTCAACTTCCACTTTCTTTTTTCTTTGCCTTACTTTCCTGCAGACCTTGTCTCTACACTCTCCACATCACTGTATCGCAACACTGCAACACTGCAGCACTGCCTTGGGACGCATTGTAAAATGCATCTCCCGGGCTCGGCAACACAAGCAGCACAAATAGAATCGATGCATGAGTAATACAATAAACGCCATTACACAACTTAATACCAGTAAAGCTCAAAACGTGAGATATTAATTATTAATCATTCGGGTGCAATCTGGATAAGACCTCCATTAACAGTATCCAGCATCACATTCGGTCCTTCATTTTGCTTCAATAAAAAAGCTTATTGTGAACATTCCAGGTGATACATGCGACGTACTTATTACAAACTACAAATCACCAGACATGTTTAAATCTCTTTAATGACTGCTAATGAAACGGAGAGCCATTTAACGAATCCTTTTTGGTCACGGGGACGTCGGCATCAAGCCGAGCCTGTGACAAAAAGGGAAATGGCATTTCCTCATTTCTATTCATCATCAGATCTACACGGTATTACGGCGCGCTCTCCTGGAAGACAAGCTCGACATGAAAATGAATGAAGAATGCCTTTTAATAAATCGCCCCCCCCCTCCCACAAAGGTTAGCGGCTTATCCAAACTTCAGATGAAATCTGATTAAAAACACGGAGCGCAGAATTGCATTACAAATTCAGTGATAAAAAAATCTCACTCCTACACAAGCCGGGCATAATCTAACCCCCCCCACCTCTCCACAACAGTGCTTTATCACAAAATAAGGCACAACACACCATATACTCCTCTGGCTGCTGCTGGACTAAGAGTAAATACAGAAGGCTTCCTATCAGACTGACTAAGGAAAAAATAAAAATCATCTTTTCTGCATGTAAGTGCTATGCCTTAGGAAAATGTATTCTCAGAGGTCTGGGCTTAATATTCCACTGACCTGCTCTTTGATAACCTTAGAGTTTAATTTACTAACTATGGGACCGAACGCAGCCCGACGCCTCCTGCTCTTAGCAGACTTCCGTCTTGCCCTTAGTCAGCATGGCACGGGAGAGAAGGGCGAGTCTTACTTGATGTAGGTGTTGGCGTTGCCATCTGGGAAGACATATGGGTGCTTCTTACGGAAGACGTGGCCCACTCGGCTGCAGGGGACGATCTCAAGGCTCCCGCCACACATCCAGACCCGGAAGGAGATCTCTGCGGGAAGAAGGGAAGAAAAGCATTTATGTGTGTGTATGTATGTCTGTGCATGTATCTATATATATATATATACACACACACACACACACACACACACACACACGGTATACACAGGGTATTGGGACCCTGGCTGATGGGAGTTTTACTTAAACAAAAATTTTCTGGGGGCAGAACAAAAAAAATGATTATTCAGTGAGATAACCAATCAGAATCCTGCCTCCTCTAGTTGCTTGGATCCACCACGCAATCTGATTGGCTATCTCTCGGAACCAATCATCTTCGTTTTACCCTCATAACACTTCTGTGTAAGTAAAGCTCTCAAATGCTGGCAGATTCAGGGACCCAGCAGCTTATTGGGGCTCCAAAATCTACTGAGGGTGACATTTTGTCAGGGGGCCCAGATTTTCTAACTACACCCCTGTATATATGCATGCTTTGGCTTTGCCCCAAGCTACATCTTTTCTGCTGCAGTTTGAAATGTTGAACATGCATAAATATTTGAAAAGAGAATGAAAGAGATCGATGGGCTTCGCATATCACTGAGCGTGATGAAATGGCCGGGATGCTCAATGCCACCTTGAGCTCGGTTCACTGAGAATAACGCCGCCTTGCTGGAACGAGGAGCAGGGAGACAGACATAGCAGCCGACACGTGACAGACGGGAGACACGAACAGATTGCGAACATCTCCCGCGTCGACCCCTTCCAGAACCGCTTCTGCTCCGGGTGCGCGATGGAGCGTCCTCTGCTGAGGGCTGTCGGCCATTTCGCCGGGGTGTGCGGCAGAGGGGCCCCGAAGAGCCACTCTCTGTGACATGCTACATTCCGGAACAGTCTGGGATCCCCGTCTGGCCCGAGCGCTTCAGAGGGACAGCCACCGCCCCGCTTGGGACCCGGGCAAGGTGAAAACGACGCACAGATGGCGATGGAGCTGTAAAGGGGCACGGAGCAGCCGAAGAAACCACAGGCATCCATCTTCAGAAGGACTTCAGAAGGAAATCCGCACACCGCCTCTTCCGTTTACTGATATAAACTGCCCACACGAGCACTGGAGCCCAGCAAGCTGCTTATTATCATTTATCATTATTTCTCACATTATTTCCTAACAAAACATGAACGTTTTTTAGACCAGGAACATGATTTTGTATAAGAAAAGGCGGCATGTCTATCACCACACACAAGAGAAGTATCTCTCATTGATAGTGAGGATCAGCGCACAGCCATTGCACTGCTGTAAACATATACTATAAAACATATAAATACAGCATATATATATATTTAAGACATATAAGAGGAGCATGAAAGTAGAGACAGGTACAGACATGCGTGACCATTCCACGTTATCAGATTTTAGACGATTACCGCTCTACGGGACATGCCTTCACACCGTTTAATTCTTAAGGAGTTACGATAAAAGGCTTATCCACCATAGTCCTCATTCTCACTCTCCGTGCCACTTTTTTAGGATGAATTATTTTAGGCACGGCAGATTTTTTTTTTTCTTTCCAGGGGATCAGCAAAGTAACTTTAACTTAATCGCCGCGGATCTTGAAAAACCCATTAAGGTGGCAGCCATGTTGGGTTGCCCACCCTTGGTGGGATTAGCAGAGAGCGAGGGCCCCTCTCTGTCATGTGACCTCCGCAGCTGCCCGGCGGATCCAACAAAGCGCTTTCCCTGGGTGATGCCAAGCCGTTTGGAGTTTTATCCGAGGCGACACGGCGTGCGCGCTCTCCCCATACGCAGCCGGGAACACATGCCGAAGCAGAGATTAAGCAGGATCAAGGGTACAACAGCAGATTAAGGGGGATCAGGGATACATCAGCATTTCACACTGAAATGCAGGTTCCTGGGCGGCACAGTGGCGCAGTGGTTAGCACTGTTTCCTCACACCTCTGGGACATGGGCTCCAGTCTCCTCCAAGGCTCCATGTGTGTGGAGTTTGCATGTTCTCCACGTGTCATCTGCTTGTCCTATGCAGGGTTGTGGGGATCGAGACTCTATCTGCTATTATTATTATTTTCCATCCATCGATCTATACCCACTTGTCCTATGCAGGGTCTGTTCATCCCTCGCTATCCTATTTGTTTCCTGTTCGTTCATTTAGTTCAATAAAACCCCTTTGTGTTTAGCCAACATGTCCTTCGTCCCTCAAGGCGTGAGATCTGCTGCATGTTTCTCCCTGTGGGGTCTACAGAGTCCGGTCACTCACCGAAGTTCTCCCCGCCCCAGATGTCCATGGCGGTGTCGTACTTCCCCAGGTGATTAAACCAGGACCTGTCAATCACGAAGAGCCCGCCTGCTATGATGGGGGTCCTGCCAGGCACGAGAATCAGAGCGCAGCACCGAAAAGACAGAGAGAAAGACAGTGAGGAAGAGAGAGAGGGTGACTTATGACTTCCTCCACGACTGTGACAGAGCTCTGAAAGCAGCTGGCTGTCCACAGATGTTCTGCACAGATGTTCTGCAAAGCTCAGTACGGTCAAATAAATGCACTCAGCTCCACACCAGTGGAAATTAAAGGGGCCGCTTTTCTTTTCTTTTTTATGGCTAAAAACCTCCTGAAATGAAAGTTTTCATTACCGCATGTAGAAAGACCAACATTACGTCTGAGATGCTGATTTATTACCGCGGCTTAGAGCATTCTTTGAGAGGACAGGGTGCTCCTTCTCTGAGGCGAGCATGTGCAGGGTGTCCTCAATTGATTGAGTAATACGAGGCCCGGCCTGTTATTGGAGCTGACAGACCCGGGTTATTGAGCCATGTAAGGTGATACATTCTCATTATCAGGGGACAGAAACACTGGGTGATTTTCCACGGGGGGGGAGGGGGGGGCGGTGCTACGCCATTTAAGCCCACAGTGTTCAAGATGCAGGATTAGATGATGGGGATCTGAAGTCCCTGCTGGTGTCTGCTGCCTGGATCTGGTTCACGTCCGTGAGCTGGAGCTGACCCTCAGGATCAGGCCAGGCAGAAAAAATGGTTGGACCGGCGCCGTCAGGAACGGGTCTGCTGTGCATGATTCCTGAGCCCAGAACAAAATTACTTCAGCTGGACCACCTTGACGTGCAACCCCTCCCACCCTTGGAGCCTCTCCTGCTAACCTCCCCCCCCCCCCCCCCCCCACAATCTCCGAGTACAGACATCGGGCCCAGTCAGGACAAACGGGCCTGGTTTCTGCCCAGATGCCACATTATTTCACTTCGAGCCGCAATGGGCCAGGCAGGGGCGCCAAAAACGGCACAGACCGCTGCACCTCCGCTCTTCTGGCTACGGACCCGCCGGTGCTATTCTCAGCAAGCGTAATGATTCGCCGCTGCAGACGCACTCATGTAAGAACGATGTGCGAGGGGGCCAAATGGGAAAGGGGAGGGGCCCAGACGGGACGACGCATCACTGACGCACGGTCTGTCTCATCCAGACGCGTCTTGCTTTTTTTTCTTTTTTAATCGCCTGTGGTCTGATCGTCGTTTCTCTTGGCAACTGCAGTTGCTGGCATTTTCCTGGGATAGAGCCACAGGCCGAGGCCGGGACAGAAACGAGGTAAGGAGGTCAGACGGCCGTCGATCGCGGCGCATTGGACGTCCCTGTGCATTTTTAACATGCCTGCTGGGTAAAACAAGGCTGTATGGTAAACGGGGGCAAATGCAAGCGGCCAGGGCGACATGGCGCTATTTTTACGGAGATCAGATCGAGAGGCTTTGCCGCAGCACTGCTCCAGATATCCCTTAACGTCACATCGTGTCTCTGCTGCCGTCCCCTAACACACACTAACCACCTCCCACAAACACAGATACACCAACACACATACATCAGGGCCAGTCCTACGATTTTTTTAAGGTGATGGCCATGTAGCGGCCATAGTTCCAGCCATGTGCAGACAGGGGGGGTGCTGAGCACGTCATGTTAACTTGAGCTTTAAATGTGACGAGTGTCTCTGCACAGTCCTGCGTAATTCATACGGAGATGCTAGCCTTATCATTGGCCACCGATGTCTTTTGAATCGATGAGTGACAAGGGAGGGGGCCAATCAGCTTTCAGATGGTGCCAGTGCCCCTCTGGCCTCGTATCTGCATACGCCCGACATACATACATGATGCACACACACACACACGAGGACATCCACACCTCCCAAAACATCTGTGCCCCCTATTTGTCCCCCCTCCCCCATCAGAAGCTCTATTGCTCATCTCACCAGGCCTGTGCATTCGTCTGCTTCCCCTGCACAGCACTAGCCTCAGCCAATCAGCTGCCTTCCTCATGGAGAACTGCAGTCAGGCTTCAGTCCATCGCCGTGTGAGTTTTGGTGACTCTGTGATGCCCCACGTGAGATTCCTCGGGGGCAGAATCTCTGGGCCGCCAGGGACGCGGTAAAACCCCTTACTCATCCCGTCACATGGGTACAACACCCACCCGCTGAAGTTAGCCAGCCTCCTTTTTCCTTTTTTTGAGCAGCGGAGACCTAAAAACCTGCCCCCGCTGCCACGCCCTCCTTTTTGCTGCACGGGTCAGGCCACGCCCACAAAAGTACCCAAAGTATGTCCAAAGGTGCCCCCCCCGCCCTGGCTAACGCCCACCTCCTTCCGATGCGCCTTCACCTTTGAGCAGCAGGAGGCGGTGTTAAACCCCATCGCGTGAGAGACAGGAACACAAGCATGGGGGGGCGCGGTGTGCAGCCGGGGCTGGTAATTAGCGCATCACCGTGGGTGGCCAGGCGCGGATTTAATGGAACGAGATCCATGCATCTGATACACAGCAATGCTACTTAATTGTCTCTTTTTCTTTATATAAAGGACAAAAAAAAATCTCATTACCTATCCAAGGCATCATGGGAAGAGATCGATAGCCCAGCAAGTCTTTCCAAAATGCAAGCCTGTTTGCTGGTTATGGGGCACAAAATATAGGTGGGGGTGGGTGATGGGACCGGGGGGAACTTGGTGGGGGAGGCAGCCCAGTGGTGTCCCAGTGTGGGCTGCCAAGTCAAAGCAGACCTTGCCCCCGCCGGGGTCTCTGCGGACCAGGCCCCAGATGGCTAACGTCGCTCTCTCTGCCTTCCTGTGCCTACTTAACGAGCCCGCTGGGGTGGGCTTCTCCCGCTTCCTTCGCTTACTTAATGGGCTCGGTGGGGTCGACCCTCCTGGCTCTCTGTTCGGGCGACAGCTGCTCCCACTTGAAATGGAGGCTCCAGTCAAATCCTGAAGAGAGAAAGGATAGATGATCACAGCTGGAGAAGAGAGACCGTCACGGGAGGATGGGGTACAGCAGGCCGGAGCTGCATGCACCCTTCTGTTTTTGTAATGGGATCAACCTTGTGACCCTTTCCTTGGGGCTAAGATAAGCTAAGCTAAGTGTTAGCATTTCCCTGATAGCGCCCACACAGCTTACGGGCTAATTCTGAAAACAGCCACTCCGTCGACGAGCCAGCCGCCCGTTTCTGCTGACATTAACTCTGGGTTTTCATAATGATTCACAGAGACCGATTAATGGATTATCCCTGTGCATCTCAGTAACCTTCGGTCAGGTGTTTTATTTTTTTTTGCTTAGCTTGCCATTTGAACAACATCCCTGGTGCCCAAATTAAAATCTCACAATACATCAGGGGGATTTCTCGACGTGCTTCCTTGCGGCATTTATAGACGGCGGTCTGACTCGCGGAGGATGTTGGGAGAGCTGGAGTTTTATGTGGGAGGGCTGCATCAGATCGCTCGCCTTGCAGTCTGCGGCCCTGGGAGACGGCAGGTCGATGTAGCTTTATTGACAGCGACACTTTTTCACGTTATGAAAGATGACTCCTCCGATAGTCGGGGCACAAGCCTTCCCCCCCACCCCCACCTCTCACTCGTGTACTGAATTTTCCCGGGTCGATTCGGGGGCTTAGGGACGGGAGGAGGGGGAAGAGAAGGATGCTTTCTACATGTTTGTTGTGACTCGGCTTCCTCCCCATCAAGACCCGTTGCCAGGGGAACGGAATAAAAAATCCAGTCCAGCGGTCCCGGCGAACGGAGAGGAAGGCCGAGGTAGGCAAGCTTGTGTCGTACCTCCACGCAGATCCGCGGAGGCGGCCACGTAGGCGAAGGTGTCCATGTTGATGATGTCGATGACAGGGCTCACCACGCGGGTTGGGTCCTTGAACGCAGGAAGAGAGGCGGTCAACAACATGCTCCTCTGACACGCTGGGTAGCTCCTGGAACAGTTACGCAAAGCCCAGCTAATGACCCGTGAGTCACAAAGGCTAATCTCATCCCACGCCAAGAGGAGCTGAGATAGCCAACAGTTACCCTCACTGTCTTGCGCAAGCGTGACTCCCGCCAATGTGTAATTAATAATTACCAAAGTTGTCAATGTTTCCAAGCAATTTCACCCTTGTTTTATTTATTTCCCTTTTTAGTTTTGCTCATTTTCTGCGACAACAGAGCTTAACAAGCTAACATGCAGCTAATCTTCCAGGATACCGAAACCAGGGAAATAAGATGACTGTTGGGCTGTCAGGTCCCAAAATAATCTCTAGGTGTTGAGTCGTCACATCCGAACTTGCTCGACACATTTTCCCCCATGTGGGTTAGCAGGAGGACTCGAGGTCTGTTTGTTTGAACCCATGATGCTACTCAGACGGAGTTCTCTGTCAAACCTACAAAAGGAACTCATCATATCGAAGCTTCCGGAACCATCTTAATGCATACCAATGCCATACCATTTTAATGCATACCAATTTAGAAAATAACATCTTTTGACTGCAAATTCTATGTACAATTCATGCTGGACAGATGCCGACAGTGCACCTTAAAACAGAGTTAACAGTGGAATCGAAGACTTTCACTGGTGCGCTGTTTGTGTTTGTGTGTCCTTTTCCTGTGACTATTTACACAGATCAATAGGTAATACTTTTTAAGGATGGACACACGGACATTGATATATAATTCTTTCAAGAAAATCAATTTGCTTCTCTATTTTTGTTCATCGATTGCTCGTAGTCAAAAGATTCCTCTATTAGCACATAAATTAAATGACGGGGTGACAGCTGCAGCGCCCGCCGAAGATCAAAACAGATGAGAAAGCAAAAGGATCAAAGGGAGAAAACAGGGAGATTTTGTGTCCGGGGGGGTACTTTGATGATTTGATGACACTTCCTACAAGCTGCTGATATTTGAGACCTCTGACCTCTGACCCCCCCCCCCCATGATTTGAAGACAGGTTCACTAGAGCCATTCTGTGGTTCACTTCACCACCTAAAAGCTATAATTCGCAGGTGGTTATCCATCTGCACTGTAATCCTGATATCTCTGAGTGCCTAGCTGATTCCGCCCCCACCCCCGCCCCCCAGGCACGTCAGCTGGAGATGTGAGAGCCACCGTCACAAAGAGCTTGGCTTCTGGTGGGCTAACACCCAATTAAGAGAATGGCTCCCCTCCCAAAGTGGTCACACTTCTGGACCATTAGGTATAATCTCTCCGGGGCTGTGCAGTGAGACAGAGAAATGTCACCAGCTATCAGAAGAAAAATAACAATTTGGCCAAGGCCTTATGGGACACTTGAATGTGGTCTGGGTTGGGGTGCAATATGGTACCTCCTTTATTCTCTGAAGAAGTGGGGGTAGCCAGTCTTTGTTGACCTCACAGTGACTGTCCAGAAAGGTGAGGACCCCTGCCCGGGCAGCGTCGGCCCCCCGAACCCGGGAGCGGATCAGTCCTGGAGGTGAGAGTACATCATGACCCATGCTGCCTCATTCCCCATCGCTCTTACATCCAAACTGGGAAACTTCAGTAACACCAGTGGGTACATGCATCCCCGGCGTAATCTTCCTCTCATCCATAAATATCTATTTTTCTGGTTTTGGTTTGTGTTAATCTAGAGCCCATATTAGGAAGAATATGGCAGGAGTGCCGTGGTGACCCTGGAACAGATGCCAGTCCACCACAGGAAAAGTACTATTCCAGCACAAACATAATGGTGGAAGAAGCACTTTCGGAAAGCGGAGCAATTGACAGGCGAGTTGGACGTAAGGGCGAGATCGGGAGGCTCAAGCTCTGCGAGGAGAGTCTTTGAGCAATGGCGGGATTCACCTTAGGTTTTGTGCTGCTTTTGACCAATTAAAAATCCCATTTCATCCTCAATAACACTTTATTTTCTGGATGGGTGAGCTCACCCTCCTTTCGACGGCGGCGTGCGCTGACACGGGCCGTGTCGGGACGGGGGTGGGGGGGGGGTCAGTGATAATGACATCCACCTCCGGTTAATAGTGACTAGAACGCAGAACTGAACATGCTCCTTTCTGTGCAAAAGAGACGATTTTAAATTCCTCGTTTTTTTTCCAGCGAGGAACTTTGAGGAGTCACAGCCTGTGATCCTATCAGAAGAGGAGTCACGACACACTTTTGCTAGTCAAGACACACCCATAGTTAAAAATAACAGCCTACGACACAATCAAACAGCAAGGGTAGCGATATCTGCCACTGGTCCTGATTTAGGACTAATGAGTCATTTCTAGCGGTACTGAGGCACCCTGGCTCCTCAGACGAAACGAGGCAAGGGTCGTTAGTTTTGATTATAGTGACAGATCGTTAATCGGAATTCTTTACACTTAGGTTACACATTTATGTAAAGCACACGATATATGACCATTATTATTATTTTGATTTAATCACTTACGCAGTGTGACATGTTTAGGTTGCGATATTTCTGGAAGACCACTGAACCATTTCAGACAAGAATTAAACTAAACAAGAGCAGTGAGCCATGATCGTGGTTAAGGATGAAACATACTAAGTTTACACTATTGAATTTTTTTTTATACTGTCTTATTTATGCGCTACTCTGTTGCTTCCATCATTCTATCATTGCCTGAATCCTAAGCATTGCAGCATCGTGTATATTTACAGTACGTCATGCGCTAATGCTGTCGCACGTCATTTTTTCTTTTGCACTCGTTCAATCTGTCTATGCATTTTATGTATGCATGTATATACTGTATGCGATAGGATGGCATCCCATCCTAGTTTGTTCCCTGCCTTGCACCTATAGCCTCCAGGATTAGGCTCCAGACCCCCTACGACCTTGACTAAGACAAGCAGTTACAGGAAATGGATGGATGGATGGATGGATGTAACAACGTGATCCTGGGGAATGCTATTTCATGTCGCTGTATGCTGTGTTACTGCATATGGGTGGTGTGACACTAACGCCCCACTTGACTAGAATTGACTTGACTGTGGGTGACTATTAGTTGAAGCCCATAGACTGGTGGCCAAGGATGTTGAGTAATGACTCTCCTGAAAAACGTACCCATGCGATACATGGCAGCCGGCAGGACTATGTACATGGAAGATGTGGCACTTTTTCTGGTATACGGCTGTGGTATGGTAAGCGTGTTTTTTTCTTGGGGGGAGGTGGGGGCTGAACTGGCAACCTTGGAAGTCTAATTCATTATCAGCTGTACCGTCTGCATCCAGCAGAGGCGCCTGTCAGTCAGCCAAAACAAACAAACAAAAAAATGCCCCTCTAATGACTTGGCCTCTGGGGTGGTCTGGCTGTTTAAGGCATTCCGCCCGACCACAGACTGAGTCACGGTTCAATCGGAAACGGCGCCGCCTGTGAGCGATGCCTCTGGTCCAATCGGCACATAGCAGCCATTTCAGACAGCAGATGATTCGCACAGTGATGTCGTAGCGTGGGGGGGGTGGAGCCTGACAGATGCGTCCCCACGGCGCTGGGAGCCAGGGAGGATGAAGAGCCAGTTATGGCTGGAAATGTTTAAATTGGGCAGGAAAGGGGTGGATGTGTGGGTGAGAGGCACGGGGGGGGGGTCACCTGCGGAGGTGAAGCAGGGCTTCTCAAACGGATCTTTATTAGACTGTACAGGTGTCAGGCTGCGTATTAAACACACTGCTCCAAGGTCAGCTCCAGACAGTGGGAGCAGCACTGCATGCAGTGCGAGGCAGGTCATCCATCCATCCATCCACCTTCTAACTTAATCTTAATAAGCAGGATAAGCATCTGGACAATGGATGGATGGATGGATGGATGGATGAAATGTTCATTTTTTTCCCCTTTTTCCTCTCCAGATTTATCCTGATTGCTGCCTAGACCAGAAGTTTATGCAGAGTATTATGCAGTATTATCCTCTCCTGCCAGATAGCCGTTAAAAGATTTATTTTTATCAGAGTGCAAATGATAAGATGAATGGAGAGAAAGAGAGATAAGTACATGACTGCAGTGGTTCTCCACAATGCAGTGAGGAGCACAGGCCTTGCCGCTCCCGGAGCATGTAAAAATCCCTTCTTAGCAGCGTCTGAATCCAGTCGCATTCGGTTCAGTCGCATTTCCCCAGCGGCCAGCATCACAGAGCTGCAGGCGGGATGCCTGCTTAACGCGGTGCCAGCACCTCGCAGGACGGACGCCATGCAGCCCTAACGAGCACAGCTCAGGCCTGCCAGAGCCCTTTCACTCTGGCTTTTGTTGATCTCTGTCTTCCATTTCCTCAGTCTATCCCTCTTCCATCCACTCCTTCCATACAGGGTCACTGAACATTATATAGCAGCAGGCAGCATGGTGAATCGGTGCATAGCCCTGCTGCTTCATACATCCAGGGTTAGGGGTTTGAATCCCCCTTCTACTCCGTGTGTGTGGTATTTGCATGCTCTCCCTCGGCGGTATGGAGTTCCTCCATATGCTCTGCTTTTCCTCCCTCACTCCAAACATACACAGCCAGGTGACCCGACGTCTATAAACTGCATATTGTGTGTGTGCCCTGCAATGGACTAGCATTCTATCCAACGTCATTCTGGGATAGGCTTCGTGTCCCCATGACCCTGGACTGGACCATAACCTAGAAGATAAATAGATCGATGAAACCCATCAATGGTGAGTTGATGAGAGTAGGCGTATGATGAAAGTGAGGCATGCTCTTTCATCAGAAGCCCTAGTGGTGTGGTAACAAGGGCTAGCTAGTTATACAGAAAACGGACAGCGTCAAGTAGCTGTTTCATTACTGGAAGCACCATTCAGAATGGTAAAGCACCACTTCCACACGGCCAGATCTACAGCAAAAATTCAGAGACGTTCCGTGTCTCTGCCTACACTGTGACACCTCCCAGTGTAGTCAAGAGAAAACATGAAATCTCAAAACACGCACCTTCTCGCTGGTTGTTCCGAAGACACTTGACCATGGGCAGCTTGGTGAGGAGAAGGCAGTCATTGGCTGGAAGAGGCACAAAGGCGGCGGAGAAAAGCCAATCAGAAGTCAACTTTCACAACGTCGCATTTCCCGTGTGCATTGCAGTGGTACTCGTTTAGCCAGGCCCACTAGCAAGAACAGCTCACACAATACAAATAACTGCTTATAAAGAGACGAGACATGTCCAAAAGTACAATGAGTAAATAACACTTGGACATTTCACAAATATTGCTGGAGTAAGTAACATTGCACTAGTGCAGATTTAGATGATGTAAATGGCTTTGAGGAAGAAAGTTCTTCAGTCCCCGTCCTTCCATTCAGCACATGTGCTACTTACGGTCCTCGCTGAAATCGTCCACCAGGATGATCTCGTGGATCAGGTGCACGGGGGTGCGGTTCAGCACGCTGGGATCACAGAGAGGACAGAAACAAGCCACTCTTCAGTTCCTTTAAGGTAGCTGAAACAACCACACTGAAGTGTGCTGGATGAAGGTCACAAGACCTTGTACTGGATTAACTGCGGAACATGAATGGATGGAAGAAAGACGTGTGACTTAAGAACACAAAAAACAAATTTAGATATTTTAGATTTTTTTTTTTATTAATCCATCCATCCATCTATCCATCCATCCATCCTGCATAATCGCTTATCCAATGCATCAATGCTGCAGAGAGCACACAGCATCCTGGATGGGATGTCAGTCACCTATAAATGATTACATACATAATATTTTTAAATAGTGAACATTTGAGCAAAACTCTTGCTCCATTATTGGCATCAGGTTTAAACGTGATACATTTCTAGGCATGTAGAGATGTGCATAGAAAATGGGTGTGGGATGTCTTCCCCTGACCCTTGACTGAATAAAAGCTTGAGCCAATCCACTTCTACTCACAGACTCCACCTGCTTTACTCACAAGACTGCCCTACAGCGAAACTCTCCTCCACTGACAGATCACTGGCAAGCTGAGGCATCTAAGCTCTGTAATGCTGAGCCACGTTTCTAACTTTCATAGTTTTTTTTCACATTCACGCATGCACAAAACTCTCCCCCAGAAACTTGCAAACCCACAGAGGTAAATAATTGAATGTCTGTCAGACCAACAATTCTGCTTTTCCATCGCTGTCCAGGAAAGAGGCATTCATCAGTCTACCCGCTAGCTCCTCATTTTACCTGCCTACATTCTAACATGCCATCCATTCAACATCCATACACCTTTATTAAACACCCTGACAGAATGCCTTTATTCTTTACTGTCAGACAATCCCTTCCTGTAAACCATGGCAGGGTATGGAAGATCCTTACAACCACTATGACGGCCCAGCAAAGAGAGCACAGCCTCGCCACCTATTCCTTTCATCATATATGAATCAGTAAATACTCTGATCCTTGTTTATCATTATTCAGGTTGTACAGCCATCTAAATATTAATGACTGCTAGCTCAATGAAGACCCCTCAAACAGACAAACCTTGAATTATCTCGAGCCGATTCAGATCTTCACAATCTTTCTTACTGCGTCAACAAGGTCATTATATTGATGTCATGAAATGTTTATGAGCTTTGTGTGTCGTAACTTTGAACCTCTGCGCTAATTACATGAAGAACAGACAAGCCTTTGACTGGATGCCCTGTTTTGGTTTCCAGATGCATTCCTGTATTTCAGTGTTTCCTAGTCTCGTCCTCGGGGACCCACAGACGGTCCACATTTTTGCTCCCTCTGAGCTCCCTGCCAGACAGTCCACATTTTTGCTCCCTCTGAGCTCCCTGCCAGACAGTCCACATTTTTACTCCTTCCCAGCTCCTGGGGGTCTGTGGATCCCCGAGGTCTGAATTGGGAAATACTGCTGTATTTATTTGGTCTGGAACAACTGTGAGGAAGAGGTTCTTGGTAGGACCGAACAGTTCTAGTGCTCCCAGGACAACAGGGAGAACACTATCTAATTACGGCAATACCCTCTTCCCAGGCAGGATTTCTACTTATACAATTAATCTTCACAAGTGAGAATTGAATGCAGGGTGGATATTAAACCTATTCGTTTAATAAAATCCTTATGAACTCCTTCTAAATTATAGCCAACCTCCATACCATTACGACTCTTAGGGATTCTTTTTAGGACACCTGAGATTACTAAAACACTACGTTGCAGTTTTGGGGTAATGACCGTGCTGTCCGGGGTGGTAAAAAATCTGAGAGCTCATCCGTAGCATCACCGCCCAGACCGCCGTCATTCCTGTCCGCCCTCCTTCCGTGGTTTCCAGAGATGTCTGAGGGACAGGCCTTTGTGTGGGTTGCTAGAATATTCTCTCGACACGGGGTTCAGTTGCAGTAATAGGCTGCTTCAGCAGGAACACACACCGAAACGTAGGCCAGCAGCCTACACCGAAAGCTAGGCTAGGCCAGCAGCCTACACCAAAAGCTAGGCTAGGCCAGCAGCCTACACCGAAAGCTAGGCTAGGCTAGCAGCCTACACCGAAAGCTAGGCTAGGCTAGCAGCCTACACCGAAAGCTAGGCTAGGCCAGCAGCCTGCACCGAAAGCTAGGCTAGGCTAGCAGCCTACACNGCTAGGCTAGGCCAGCAGCCTACACCGAAAGCTAGGCTAAGTCAGCAGCCTACATTTCAGATCCATTTCAGGTTAGTGTTGTATCATATGGTGCCCCCATGGAAACGAAGTGCAGAGGTCAAATGGCCTTTTTGACAGCCACCGGGGATAAGGCAGGTTTCCCTGGCTTACAGCAGCGGCTACGAAAATGCTAGCTCTGACTCAGTCTCCGCTTTCAAAACAAATGAGACAACCAAGCTAAACCTCAAGACCCCATAAAGATTACTATGTTGTTTTTTCCCCTCCTGCTCCCTTCAGTTACATCACCATGGGCTACAAGTTGAGGGTATAAATAATTAAAGTCATACTGTGCGGAGGCTATGACACGAACACAGTGGAAACCACAAAACAGCAGGCTAATTAAACCCCACCTACTGAGACAGGCCCCTGGGACTGCTGAGCCGCAGGGGGCGATTACCCAGAGTGCCTTGCGACCGTCGTGAATGACAGAGGGATTAGAATCATATCCATTAAAAATAAATTCAGACAGAAGGAAGACAGGGAGAGACAGTTAACCTCAGAGCATGTCCAGAAGATCGAAGTGGAAGGGAAAAAAAAGAATGCATTTGTACCCCTCTAAAAAACTTTATGGGAAGAAAAACTGCAGAGAATGCAACTTTCCTTAGTCTATAGGGATCCTGGGGGCGTCAGACCGTCTCCTGCAGCAGTACAGGTATTTCTGGCAGGGATGGTGCGTGGTCCAATTAGGGCGAGGCATATCAAAATTAATCTGGCAGGACCTGACTAGGAGAAACAGGATTTCTCTGGTCCGAGCACCAGTGTGCTCAGAATTTTTTCCTGTCAAGCGGTAGGTTCTGAAAACCTTCAGAGCTCATTAAATCAGTCCACTTGTCAGTGGCTGGCTGCATGTACAGCGATTCAGGAGCCTTCATATGATACTCTGTAGTGGTACCATGATTTACAAAGCACATAAACCCGACTATAAACGAGATCATAATCTGGGGGCAGGGGTGGTATTCAATGAGCTTTGCCCCATCATGGAGGGGGGAAGGGGTATGCGTTATGGCGTTTGAATCCACCCATTCGGGCAGTGGAGAATGTTGACATTTACTGGTAATCATGATGTCAACTGGTGGTGAAGGTGGGCAGGTACCGGAAAACATCAAAAGATCTAGTGGTTGTCTCCTTCACTCCAGACGTTTCCAATCTGTGATTCCCCAACGGTGGATGAGCTGCCAAACCACATCCAATATTCAGATTCCCTCCCCACCTTTACAAAATGCCTCAAGAACCATCTATTCCTGTGAATGTCTTTAATGTTGCATTTCTCATCACCTAATTGCCTCATTAGCCTTCTGCTCTGATGGAAGTTGACTGTTGCATAGGTCTTGCTCTATACTACTTATGCTTGTACCTGGGCATTCACTGGAAACTCAGCCTAGCTGCGCTTATGCCTAGTCGGCTCCTCGACAGCAAGTATGTTTGTAATGTGCTATTTCCCTCAGCTGTGTGTCGCGTTGCACAAAAGCATCTGCTCAATGAAATATATGTAAATGCAAATGTACTTGGGTTTAATGCGTATGTTGTTAGAGAAAACATGGAGATCCAGGGGCTAGAGGGGCACTGAAACAAACATTGGCTCATTTGCACTTCAGACGAAACTCAGAGGACTGGCCTCCGCAGTACGGGAGCCCGGCGCCCACAGCCTTACCTCCGGATGGTGCGCAGGAGTGCGGCTCGGGCCTCATTGTGGAAGGTGATCACGATGGACGTGGGTGGCAGGTCTGGGCCATAATGGAAGGACGTGCACCTGAGACAACACAGGACCACAAACAAACAGCGTTCAGCCAATCGCGCGTCTCCACTCCGCTCCGCTCGCAGTGTCGCAAATTCAATGCGGTTTCACCTCTCTGCCTATCCTTTATTACACTTTCCCTCCAGAGAACAAAAAAAAGACCTTGTGCCGAGATAGCATTATCCAAACACTGCAGATCGCTAAACATGAGAAAAAAAAAGGGTCTTATAATTGAGAGTGCTGTTGCTATGAGTAACAAGACAAAAGCATCCCATTGTGAACGAACAGCGCAAACATGCAATAGGACATGCAGTGAGAAAAGAAGACTCGTGGTGCAGGGTTATAAATAAGATCAGGAGCAACCCACTTATGTGTCTGACCATAAGAAGTGTGGGAGTTTCATATAGGCATCGATTTGCCACAGAGGTAAGAAACGATGAGATTCCGGAGAGTTCAGATCCGCATTGGAAAGGACAAACAAAGACGCAGCTAGAAATCCTGAGGTCATTTGTAAGAAGCTCTGCAGCTTCTTACAAATGTTTGAAGGCCCACAGTCTATGTCTTTGACCGAGTGTAACAATTACCATGGCAATGGATGTGGTGGAGTATTTAAAAAGCAAAGCAAAGTGCAAACATTTAGCGTGCCACAGGGTGACCGCCCATATATGGTTGATTGACAAGTGCTTATTACTTCCCGTGAAACACATTCCTTCAGTTTATTCCTCCTCATATACACTAGAAGGTTGGAATCGTAAATTCACATGACCTCCGACAGAAAGTGGAAGGTTTCCTAATGAAAGGAAGATGGGATGAGCCCTGGGGGCAGTTTCGTTTACAGAGACGCTCCACGCCAACCGGCATGGCAAATAGCCCAGATATGTTTCTAGCGAGGCTCACAGCAGGACTGAGGCAAGTCCTTAAGGTTCTTATAATATTTATTAGCTGCGCTGGAAGAGTTAAAATTTATACTTCCATGTAGTGAGGTGTTTATTGATGTAATCATGGTTAAACATAAAGGTTGTCAGGGCAATGATTGTAGGCCCCACCTGGCCAATTCCTATGATGCTAGGCTAACTGTTAGCTCCATGTCACATGATGCCTCACGTACTAAGCTCTCCTGTATAATGCACCTGCCTGAATATCCTCAACTGGGAGCAGACTTCCACTACTCCCTGTGGTGAGACAAATGAAATTCCCCAGCCTGGAGTTTAAATAGAAATTCCCCGAATCCTGGACTCTGTTTCTTCTATAAAAGCCTTATAGTAAAATGATGGCTGCGAGCTTTTGACTGTACTGAGCTTATGATCATCATGATACATCTGGTAGACCTGACCTTCATCAAAGTATGTCTAAATAACACCCTGATTACACCCATCCATCTTCCAACTGCTTGGTTAGGGTTATGAGGGGGCTTGGTGCATATCCCAGGCAGTATTGGGCTGGAATACACCATGCATGGATTGGCCCTGATTATAACAGTCTGTTTAATCTGTTTCTTTAGAAGAGAACTCAGTAACACTTTACTTAAAGCTGTCACTTATAATCCATTACTAATACCTTCTGATAAAATTAATAAAGCGTTATAGTATTTTCTATTGACAGTCATAAGAAATTATAGTGTTGATTATAATACTTCATAAGTGCCAATGAAGCTCTCATCTATAATGCACTATAGGCACCTTCATAATGCATTATAATGGTCAGTATAAGCATTAAGGATGTATCTATAGTGCATTATAGATGAGAGCTTCATAAGGCAGTCATAGTGCATAATAAACATGGCTATAATGTGTTTTGCCTTTTTCTAAATGTCTATAGCTATATTTTTTAAAGCTTTATGAATGCATTCTAATGTGTTATGAATGTGTTTATAGACTCTTATACTGTAGAAATTCATAGGAAGTGTAAATTAAATTGGTAGTTAGGGACTATGAGGACAAGTGGACATTTAGAATATTTAAGATGACTGATGTTTGAAAAGTTGGTCCAGACCCATCAAAGACTGAGGTGAAGGAGCCCGGGTTTAAATCTATGCAGTTCAATAAGCCCTATAGGTTGGGGAAACAAGCTTAATGACAAGCAGACACTCCTGGATGTAGCTGCAGGCCACAGGCTGTCTATGATGGGTAAACTGAGTACTGAAGCAGCAACTTCAGCACATTTAAAGCTAGACAGACTCTCACCAACATGCAGTGGACTCAAGAATGATAAATGGCGTAAGCCACATGGCTAATACGAAGCTCATCAATAAGGAGGGTACAATTCATACTGTCCCTAATTTTATGTGCTAAGAGATCACTCACTTTGTCTAGGTTTCCTATCAAGGCCAGGTAGCTCATTATTGATCACTTTCTGAGTTTTTAGAGCTCCGTTTCAGTACCGCTACATGTTGGAGGGCGAAGGATATTTGTCGCTATTAAGAAATCACCCTTTTCAAGGACTTTGTTAATGTGCAAGTCAAGCATCAAAGCAGTATAACGGTCATTAAGTTTTTATTCCATGCCCGGCAATTATTGACTCAAATGAATGTAACAAGCTGGAGGAGTGTTTTTCGATATCCTTCCTCTTATACGATAGCCTGATACATTCTTCTTTTTAAATTCTTCAAAAAACACAGAGATGTATGTAAAATTAGAATAGCAATAGCACATTGCTGTCCTCTGTTGCAATTTAAAGATGTTCTGGTGGTCGACTGGATAGCATGTCTTCCAAATGGATCCCACAGAAAGGCCTACTTGCCATGAAATATTTTTCAGAATCGTTCTGGTTGTGGTATTGATGCTAAAATTCATGGACTGTTGTATGAAGACCAGCACAACCTTTTACAAAACCTAAGATCCTTCTTTTCACATTCCTAGTTAGGTGTGGAGCATGCAGCCCATTGCACACCCACCACATGACAGACAACCACAGGGATGAGAACCCAAGTACAGCAGGTGACACCTCAGCAGCACACTACTTCAAATGCAGTGGAACATTGGGAGTTTTTTTTTTCCAGTGGCTGAAGAGCCACCAAACCCCCAAATTTTCCCTGTAAGTTGCAGGGCTGGATGTAGATTAACGTCATATCCAGGACAAAGCAATTACAGGTTAAGGGCCTTGTTCAAGGGCCCAATGGAGCAGGATCACTCCAGGCATTTACGGGATTCAAACCGACAACCTTCCGATTGCTAGCTCAGAACCACCACTCCTAGTTAGGTCACAGTTACACAATGTTTATTACATTTATGGCTATACACATTTTTATTGCCCAGTAAAACAATCCTGCGATCAAGTAGCTCAACCATAGTTCATTTTAGAACATTTTACCTCTTTCAGTTGCCTAATCTAACTGTAACAGATCTGGCACCTGGAAACTTACCATCTTATATACATGTGTTTCATTTACGTACTCAGGTTATAAGGTAAGGTTTCACACTGCAATAAGAAGAGTCTTTGTTGTTATTAATGTTGACCAAGGCAACAATCCTCAAACTGACAAGAATGTGATGCTTTGTAAGTGGTTTCTGAAGCTGAAGTCCATTTCGCTCCCACATCAGCAATTCTGGGAAGAGATATTTCTAAAGGGCTTGAAAATAAAAATAAAACTGAAGAGAGACCACTAGATTAATCCTGTATAAAGAACAGAAGATGAACCATCTGTACTAGAACGAGGAAGAAGACCTTATCATCACTCAGTGTTTACCAGACGTTCCTGGAATTACTGCTGGTTTAGATGTGAATGGTGTAAACCAGACATGCCGCTGTTTTCACGTCTCCTACACAGCTCCACGGATCTGCTCGTGCTATTGGCAAGAGGAGCCAAAGCATCTCACCGCTAAGCAAAAAGTACCCATAGATCACATTTTGTCCCCAGCTGAATGACAGCGTTTTTATGTTCATCCAGAAGTGATTCATCTCTGCTGCCCTAACAGCTGCTAGAATATGCATCCTTCGGCTCTGGGTGCAGCTACTCCAGATTTATCAATAAAATTACAACGAGAGGAGAGAATTGTTGATCTAGAATAAATTACAGTTAAAACCAACTAAAGCAGCCTTCACACGCTGCAAGCAAAGACAAGGGAATTATACTACATTAAAATATCATTTTCCCACCGTAATTTAGAGCATTTCTTTTTTTTTATCTAGAATTATATTGTACCGTCCTGATCTAATTTGTCCTCAGCATTTTTATATTGTGTGATATGGCTCTTCTTTCCTCATATCTTTGCTGTATTCTTCTTCTTCTTTTTATAAATGATGAATAATAAATCATAATCAATAAAAGATACGCTCCCTTGAAGAAAAGAACTATTGCAGAGTCAAGGCAGAAGCACAAAGTGAGTATCCGTGCCAAACATTTTCCCCCCTGCACATGAATATCGGTAGATTGATGTTTTCTTTGCAAGAGGAGAGTAGCCTTCGGAGACATGGTCTAACTTTGCATGCAGATGGTGCAGAAATTATTCATATCAGCCCATTTGTGTTTGGGAGCAGCGATTAATGGGGGCTTTTTCAGATAGTTTCACATTTGATTTGGAAGTAAACAAGTGTGACAAACATAAGCAAGACATCAGTGGCCTTGGCTGACATTTGGGGCCCCTTTGAGACCCTCCACACCTGCATTATGTTGCACTTAAGGTTCAAGGATCTTATACTATTATTTACTTACATGCAGTCCCTGGCTATAGAGCGTCTGACCTATGGACAACTCCTACTTACAAACAGACTGCCATAAAGCCTATTATATAAAAAAAATCAAGTTAAGTATAATGGTTTGTAATAACAAACACACACAATGCTTTGTGTGGCACTCATGAATACATTGCGTAGCTCAGCGGCTCGTCAGATCGAGGTAGAGTACAGTACTGTATGTAGTCACTTTTGTTATTACTGTATTTTCATTATTATGTACTGTATTATTATTTTTAAGATGTTTTAGTGTATTTGGAAGTATTTCTTAAGTATTTTATATACGTAGAAAGTTAAAATATATGCTATATACTAGGACAAACATCGTCAACTGACTATAAATA